ATATATATATATATATATATATATGCATTATGCATGCACATCTGTGGGGGTAATGGGGTGGGAATGTAGAGTGTTGAGGGCTGCTAGGGTTTAGGCGTGCTTAGGGTTTAGGGTTTAGGGTTTGGGGTCTCAAAGGACTCAGCCTAGCAAAGCCCTTCTCAGCGCAGCAGCAGCAGAAGACAGAGGAGGGGAGGAAGCAAAGGAGAGAAGCCAAGCGGCTGCTTAGGACAAAGCGGGTGGAAGTTAAAGAGTAGAAGTTAAAGACTAGAAGGGACTTCATCTCAAATATGGCATTGAAACCAAGCGCAGCGCATGTATGCATGCATGCATGCATGCAGCCGCGAGTGCATGCATGCTGCGGCGAGTGCATGCACTGTCAGGTCAACGGAGGCTTTCTCGCGTTATGTACGAACACTTAAACTTTAAGCGGGCTGCAAGCCCTTAATAAGACCACTCGAAGAGGGTAGGGAAAGATATTTAAAAGACCCGAGGCTCGCCTGCATCTGCAGGCAGGGTATTTGTTCTCTTGTCCATTGCTTGACACCGCAGCAGCTAGCCAGCTAGCTAGCTAGATAGCTGGATAGATAGCTAGCTAGATAGATAGATATATAGCCGGATAGCTAGCTAGCTGGATAGCTAGCTAGCTAGATGGCCACCAGGCGGGCTAGGTAGCTACGGTTCCCGCCTCTGGGGGGCAAGGGGGCGAGGAGCGAGCAAGGAGGCTAGCTAGCTAGCTAGCTAGGTAGCTACCTAGCTAGCCTTCTGCGTAGCTAGCCAGATAGCTAGCTAAGTAGCTAGACAGATAGCTTGCTAGGCAGGACACAGCCCAGCGGGAGCCAATTGAGGAGCGAGTGGAGGCGGAGAAGAGAGGCAGCTAGCGCCTAAGACCCAGTTGGCTAGCCACCTAGCTAGCAGACCTGATATCCTCAGCTAGCTAGTGGCTAGCTAGCTCATGGGGTCTGTTAGAGAGTCAAAGGAGACTCCGGGGGCGGGGACGAGGTGCGCAGAAGAGAGACAACGTAAACACAAAATTAAGCGAGAAGATCTAAGCCCAGAGAGACAGCAAGAGGGAGATCCACCTGATTGTGGCAGCTATTAGGAGACAGTGCAGCTAGCACGAGTTCAAGCAGCAAAAGGACTAAGCAAGGGACAGGAGACAGCGAGAAGGAGACAAAATAAAAAAGCTGCTTCTCTATGCAGAACCGAAGACATTCACCTAATTCATAATTGGTGTGTCTCTTTGTCTCTTCATATATGTGTCTCTCTGTCTCCTACTCAACCAAAGGAGACAAAGATAGGCTTCTGTCTCTGCGTTTAAACAGAGGAGATTAAAGTACTTGTGTCTCTGTCTCCTAGCCCCTAAACAAGGGAGAGAAAGGTATTTGACTCTCTGCCCTCTGGCGTTTAAACAAAGGAGACAGCAGTTTTTGCGTTTTTAAAACAAAGGAGACAGAGCCCCAGCTTTGCCTGTCTTTGCCTCCTACCCTCTATCCTTGCTTCTCTGTTTCTTAGGGCCTATCAGAGGAGACTGAAGAATATGTCTCTCTCTTCCTTAGCCCTTAAACAACTAATGCCTCTCTTTGTGCTTCTCTGTCTCCTTCCCTCTACAACCATATCTGCGCCTCTGTCTCCTACGCCCTACCAATATTATTCTCTTCACTCTCCACTAACTGTAGGGCTGAGCTGCGTTCTTTACTTTGTCTCCTTTCTTCTGCTGTATATATATATATATATATATCGCGCGCTGTCTTTCTTAATTCGCCTTGATGCTAGGCAAAGGAGACACTTCTGTTGGTAGTCCCTTCCTTCCTTACTCCCTTTGTCTCTTGCTGTGGGGTTTGCAGTGGATGGTGCGAGTTAAGGGTTTAGGGTTTAGGGTTTAGGGTGTGTGCAGGCTAGGGATGGATGCATGCAGAAGCCCTTAGCCCTCCTCATCTGTAGGGTTTAGGTGAATGGTTTGCCGCTGCATCTTCAGGTGTCTCGTTAATTCTATTTGTCTCCCTTCTGCTTCCTTTACACTGAAAAGGAGACAGTGCTTCTAGCTGTCTCCTCTTCACTGCTGAGGAGGGGCCCCCGAGCTATCTCTGCTACTGCGCGACCGCTTGTTGTTTATTTGTGTGCTCTTTGATAAATATTTTAAATATTATTTTCGTTTATTCTACTTAAAACAGAATATACATTTCTTTATTCCTCTACTATTTATAGAGACAACCTTAAGGGGGGGCCCCCCTTACGTCTTAAGGGGGGCCCCCCAAGGGCCCCCCTGCTGGCTTCGTAGTTTGTATTTCTTTGCGAGGATTTCTTTGTGAATACATCAACTAAAGAAGCGCCTTTAACAGAGCGAGAAGCACTTAAACAAACACAACATTGCTGCTTTGAAGACCCTGCGTGCATGCATGCATACATGCATGCATACATATATAGATGCATGCATGCATGATCTTCCACCCTGCCTGCATACATCCATGCATGCATGCATGCATGCATGCATGCAGGATCTTCTACTTAGCCTACATACAAGCATGCATGCACGCATACATGCATGCATGCATGCATGCATGAGGTGCATATGCGCCTATCCCTGCAATGCCCGTAGGATTTGCTCAATTTCTTAAGCGCTGAGCAAAGTAAAGAATGCATAGAAGGGCCGGGGGCAGTCGGGGTGCTGATATTTGTTGGTGTTCGTGTCGCTGCATTGCACACATTGATGTAGATTGCTTCTATGCACAGGCTGAGGCCCTTCTAAACCCTGTTTTAAGGCTAAGTCCTTTAGCTGTACAGCAGAAGAATTGCATTGTCTCTGCTAACCTGCATGCACGAGCTCTCTATGGAGACTTAAAAGGTAGCTCTGTTGCTGAAGCAAAGAAGTGCTGTG